AATCTAATCTGTTCTGATTATTCTATTGAAGCACAGCTTCATAAAAGGTTTTTGGAATTTGTCAAAAGTACTGTCAATAGTAAAAACATATGTACAAACATTTATGCTAAGTTAGCTGTACATGGCAGTCAGTCAACTTTGGGTAACAGTTTAAACTATATTTGTCATAGATATGGTTTATCAAAATATGAACTGACTAATATGTCTCTTAGTAAAATTTTATCTGCAGTAAATAAAATCGACATCAATTCAAAATCAGAGAATGATAAAATTAAGGCAGGCGCCATCAGGAATTTAATATCTTTAAGAGAAAACGATGACAATTTAAATGATATACTTAATGAACTTTGTACAAACTGAATTTAAAATTATGTATTTATTAAGGCCAGATTTATGTGTGTATTGATACTTTTGTAATTGTACTTAATTTTGTACGAATAAATTATTATTATTATTATTTAATTTGGACTCTTCGCGAATTTCGCCGAATATAACTGATTAAAAATTACAGTAAAAACAGAAATGATTGAATGTAAATAAACTTATATACATTCATTTTACGTTATTAAATGCGTTGCGACCCGTTTGTGTCTATTTCCAGTTGCCAAACAATACAGAATTACCTTTGTGATTAACATATAATGGTTTATTATATTAACTGTATATAGACAGATAACGGTTGGTTATATTAACTGTATATAGACAAAACGGTTTATTATATTAACTGTATATAGACAGATAACAAGTTTATTATATTGACTGTATATATATAGACAGAAAACTGTTGGTTATATTAAATGTACATCGACAGATAACGGGTTTATTATATTAATTGTACATCGACAGATAACTTATTATTTTTATATTTTGGGGATATGATTTAACTAATTAACCATTTATGATTACGTTTTGTTATTAACTGTATAAAAGAGATTGTTTTATTATATTTTATATTTGCCCTTGATGTGAGACTTCACAGTTTTTATTTGCATCTGACATGAGGTCACACAATGGACGAATGTCTTGTTTGAGTAATTGTTAAGCAATAATTACTGTCACTATTATCAAGCGACTCAATAGTGTACAACTCAGAACCATAAAATAAAAAGGAGTTTTCCAGGAGTTATTTACCAGATTCCAGGAATCCCTGTATAGAATTCTACATCATAATGTATTTCTTTTATGCTTGACGAATATTGTTCGACTGACTCGAGTCAATTTACGGCGACGACCTCATAGTTGCAATAATATTATTTGGATTATTTACTGGGTGACAACTTCAGATCAACGACCACGAATCAAGTCTAAAATATCCCATTATATGAAAGTACAAGTAATGTCCGTCTTGTGTGTTTGAACTTTCTGTAACATCTGGGGTGTGGCTTGGTATCACTTGTCATATTGGCCTGGGGATGTGCGTGGCCACGTCGAATCAAAAGCTCCCAGCATCCTCTTGAATGTTACAGTGTTTACTCCCATCGCAGATTTATTTTGTCTTATAAACCTATAACGGTAAATCCCTTTGATCTTTGGGGCATATTCTATGCCCGGAATAACTTGCGGTCTAAAAGTCGGAGGCGACTTTGGATATATACAGGGGAACTTGGGGTTATTCTTCTGAAAGTTTTTCTTTAAATCTGTAACGGGTTATTCTTCCAGGTTAGGTTTTTATTTTCCTTAAGAAAACATGGTCTTAGGGTTTTCTTACTTTAATTCTGGGATATTCTCATTGTACGTACATGTAAACATAGACGGTTTATAAGCAAGATAAAGTCCTCGACTTCGATTATGCTGGGAAAGAAAGACTTCAGAAAAAAAAACCTCGACAGAAAAACCTCGGCCTGCTGGCCTCGGTTTTGTCTTTTTCTCCGGTTCTTCAGTCTTTCTTTCCCCGGCATAACCTCAATCTCGTGCTTTATCCTATACTTAAATCGTAAATCCCGAACACTGGATATTTTTAAATTCCTTTAAACCATTAAACAAACCAGTCATAAATTGAATTGAAATGGAATGATGGCTTGATAAAGTTTCCTTTATTTTGAAAATAATCTTAATTTGAAAATCCCCCGTGACACTGTATAGACAAACCCCGCCCACTTCTACATATTAAACACAATAACATAACAGTAGGATGTTAAACCTCATTTCGTGGTTTCCCCTTGTCAGTGGTGCAGAACGGCCCGACAAAAACAGCTATCTAGTCCGTCGGATGAGACGAAAAACTGAGGTCCCGTGTATACATTGGAATGCACATAAAAGGTCCCTTGACAGTTGGAATTCGATATAAGAGTAGGGGATAGTGCCGCTGCCCGGGCAAAATTTCCCTCATAGCACACTGTATGGCGTATGCCCGTCTTCATTAGCCCAGTATAGGAGCAGAACAGTAGGACGTTAAACCCCATTTCATTCCATTTTATTTAATTTAAACCTCATTTTATTTTATTTCAATAGCATAATAAATATGGAACACAGTTACTAAATTAAAGCAACATGTTGCTGTGGGTTCTCTCAAGTTTAATTTCGTCTTCATTAGCGCAGTCCTAGCGGGTTGGGGGTGGTATGTGGCCGAATGGTCAGCGCGTGTGCGTTGTATCATAAGGTCTGTAATTGAATCAAGTGACGTGGTTTTAATTCCTTACTTGTACGTGACAAGGAGTAGGTTCGCTTGTCCACTGCTAAAGACCTCCTACTAAATAAAATTAAACCATGTGTTAGTCCCGAAATGATATAGCTTATGTCGAGTGGACGTTAAACGCCCTCCATTCAACTCATAACATGGGTTATAAAATCATTACACCTATTATTTGCCCAACTGGATCTATATTGTAAAACACTATACTTTACATAAAAGTCAGATCTTTATTATAAATTTTAATGATATATATCCATCATTTCATGTTTTATTTTAAATATTTATATGCATAGTTCTATTTATTTTTATATTTAAACAATTTTTTATATGAATTTATTGATTGTTAAGTATAATTTAGCCTGTTTTATTTTTCACCATAATATGTTTGGCGCAATACAGCCCGGTTGAAGCTGACGTGTCATAAAACACATGTAACGATGTCTATGTATAATTGTATTATGTACAAATTTTTAATAGATGTTTCTTTATATGCCCTTTACTGGTTTGATATTTCAATGTTAGTTTAATACGTCTGTTTTAGATAAATCATTTTAATCATCTTTCATTTATGTCATTTTATTTCTTCCCTAACTTTGCTTCATTATTTCAAAACTGTAATGTGGCTTCTTCTTGCCTGTTTTGTAGACCGTAGTGCCGCTGCCCAGGCAAAACGTCGCGATCATAACACACTGCATGGAGTATGACTGTCTTACGGCCAGACCAGTAGGAATTGCATGCCAATTTGTACACGGAACGACTATTCATGTACATTGACCCTTGCCAGGCCCTTCGTCCTGTATCACAGACAGTGGAAGACCACGTTGAAAAAAACCCTATGACCTATCTCGGTCAACACACTGAGCCACCGCGACACCCCTGAACCAAAGGAAGGAGCTTCTAAGCTACCAAGCACGTCTCGGATGATAGTTCTTGTCTTGTATATGAAACAAATTAGATAAGCCTTAGAATTAACCACTGCCCCTCCCCGCCCCAACTGACATTGTTAGTGAGATAAGTATGGGACATATCTTTATTGTACAAAACACCACTACTTCCACTCCGATCGAGGTATTCTTCATGTTGATAAAAACAGACAATCAATCATAAAGTAACAATCTCATCACAAAATGTATACATTTATCGAGGTTTGTCCATTACGTCTATTGGTTCCGGGGGATTGGTTGGCCGAATAGTTAACGCATGCTCGTTGGATCAGAGGGTCTGTCATTGAATCAAGTGGAAGAAATCTCGTAACGTCTGGGCTGCGCTTTGCTACGAGTAACACCGCGATGTCACGAGGCAATAAATGAACAAGACGAAGCGAAGAAGTGACCCGACTTCTTACTGATTATTCTTGACTTCTTGTTACTCGTTCTGATCGAAGACAGGAATGAGCGATATTAGGCCCATTTGTCGCGTCTTCACACATCGTTGACCCAAACGCAAGAAGGGGTAAAGGGATACTTACCAGCTTCCATAATTTTGCATTATCTATTTGTGAACTATTATAGCAAGAACGACCAACTGTTTTTCTATGGGGGGTCACGTTGGCAAAGTGGGCAGCCTGGAGGTCGGGTGTTCGATCCCTGCATTGGCCGAGAAAGTTCATCCCGATTTTACGGCGTGGTTCCCCCTTGTCACTGATGCAGGACGGAGGGCCTGGCAAGGACAGCTGTCTTGTCGTTCGGAAGGGACGAAATACCGCGGAACCGTGTACACATTGGCGTGCACGCAAAAGATCCCTTGACAGTTGGAATTCTCTATAAGAGTAGGCCGTAGTGTTCTGCTCCTGGTCAGGCCCTCCGTCCTGCCCCACTGACAAGGTGAAACAACATCCGAATATCCCGATGAACGTTATCGGCCAATGCAGGGATCGAACCCGCGATCTAAAGACTAGCGAGCCAGCGCATTACCCACTAAGCTACCGTGGCTCCTAGTATAGAAAATAGCGCCTATATAATTAAATAGAACATATAAGATCTTTAATCACACCTCTCTCTTTTTTCTAACCTAAACAAAATGCTCGAGGTGTTGTCCGGTGGTCTATAAAAAGTAACCACACACCTCCCGGGGGGGGGGGGGTAGTGTGGACATTCAGATTGTTAACCATAATCACACAAGCCCTGTGGTTCGTGGATTGGAATTTCGGGTTGATGGTACGACATCGGCCACGACATACAGGTTGGTAATTATAACCACACTATTCCCTGGTCGATGGTAATTTATTTAGGTAATGAAATCCATTATACAGTTTTATTTTCGAGGATAAAACAATTAATATTTCCATTTAGCTCATAGTTAAACCATTTATTCTATTAATGATGAACATCGATAATAAAACAATTAATATTTTCATCTAGTACATCGTTTATCCTATTAATGATGAACCTGATTTAGCATAATAACAAAAATGTAATTTGTGCTGGTGGCTTCCACCATCATCAAAAGGGTGCGCTCCTGTATCTTTGTCGTGATTTTGGGCAGGGTAATCATCCCATATAATATATTCTTCAGCCACTGACATACCCTTTACTCGTTGACATTCCCGGGTATATTTAAACAGAAAAAAGGGTTTTTCTATTGGTAGCGAGATTGCTCCGGTTGGTACTCCATCCTTTCTGAAATTATGAACGATGAAAATGAGTAAAAAAATGTCACTGGACAATAGTCGCTTAATTGTCACTCAGTCAAGAGAGCTGCTCAGTCGAGTAGCTGTTATGGGTTACAGCTGACAGAGAGCTGGGCGGTCGAGTAACTCTTATGAGTTACGGCTGACAGAGCTACGTAACTGGTACGAGTTACAGCTGACAGGGAGCGAGTCGAGTAACTGTTATGAGTTACAGCTGACAGAGAGCTGGGCGAGAAGGCTATGGTGTTTTATGTTCACGCATCACAGAGTAAGTTATTCACTAGCCTTGGAATCTTATAATCAATAGAATATTTTACCTACAACAAAGGTATCGCACGGGTATTCGTGCGTCACTATTGTATTTACCTGGTTATGTGTTGATATCATACTGATATGCTAACTTGCAACACACAACGTACTGGTGTTTACCATGTGATATTAACCAACATCACAGAACTGGTCCTGTGTTGGTATCGTACTGGTATTTATCATTGGATACTCACCTACAACAAAAATCTATTCTTGTATCTGCATCGTACTGACCGTCTGGTAACGTTCCTGACTTAGAATTATGATTGTTCTTGTTTTCATCATCCCATAAAACGGAGCCTGTTTGGAAGCCTGTGGAAAATATAAAGCACGCATAAATGTATCAGGTTGGATGTGTATATACGTATAAGATGTGTGTACTCAAATATCCAGACATAATGATGTTCGTTGTCAGTTAATATATTGTTTATTACGGATTAAGGTCGGCGGTCAGGTAAGACATGGTATAGATAGATTGGTAATATTACAAATAAATATATATAACAATAACATAATAGATGATACATGGAGTTAGCTTACTTTATCAACAGACTTGGTGTTTTAGTGTATTGAGACCATTCTAGTGCAAATTATCAATAAATAGACATCAGGGCTTGGGTTTTTGATAATTCATTTCTTAATACCAATATCTTATCTATATGAGAGGATAATTCTAACAAAGGTTGTTCATCTCATGTTAATAATAAATAATAAATCCATTGTCTTCACTAATGTAGTCACTTAAATATTGAACTCGTAGCTTATGGCGTGTTTTACATACAATTCATATATGATCTAAATCTGCAAGTGGTTTGGTGTACAAACCATGTAATTCGGATGTTTGGCTAATTTGCTCTTATACAAATTTGCTGCTATGGAGAATATGTTTAACCGTAATTCTGTAACATTTCTTACACCTGCTTAGGGATTTTACCAAACACAGATTCAGTTTGCAATTCTTAAAGACTTTAAGACTTTCCGAATAACTTATTCTCTCAGACCAGTCTTATAGGTGAAACCTAGAGAACTTAACTAAATTCGTTAATAATGCATTATTTAAGAGCTAAATTTCAATATTGAAGGGTTTTATTCCGGTTTCCGGTGTTATTTATCGTATTATGTAGACGTGTATTCACATAAATTCCCGTAATCAACTCTCTAGATCATCGGATGACTTGAATAGTAATTGACCAACCTCGCAACTCAAGTTGGAGGATACGATTCTTAAACTATTAACAGGACCAGGACAAAGGATGCTATTACTTCTCGTATTTCCTCCCTCGTTAAATATTATGCACGCACCAGAACACTGAAACTAAAATGGCACTGTCGCGTGACAAAGCGCGCATTGTGACGCGATGTGTAAAGATTGCTCAAAAGCAGTTGTGGCCAGGACTAAATCTATTTAAGGCCAGCTCAATTTTCGTCATGGTAAGGACTAGGGCTAGGTTTAGGGTTGGGATTAGTGCTAGCTCTGTTTATATCTCGTGGAGTTATGGAATATATCTAACCCTGTGGCTAGAGTTGTTTTTTTACCATGACCTGATGGCCGCAATAATGGAATATAACAGTGATAAGTGTATGGTCAATTACTATTTTAAGCTATCCGTTATCATTTAGTTTTGTCTTTATTCAACTTATCCGATCATCTCAACAAAACGTCCGTATAATAATTTACCTTTAGGACAATTTCCATATTTGAGAATACAATAATCTCCAGCTGGCCAATCAGTATCATACTGGGTAATTTTATTATCTCCCTTCATACAGAAACTCACGGTGATATCCTGGCCTTTAGTACCTGAAACACATTGAACTGGTTATTTCAAACAGTAAATCGGTAGTAAAATGAATGAATAAAATGTTGTTTTATGGCACGTCAGCTCCAACCGGGCTAATTGCGCCAAACAAATGGTGATTATTTCAAGCCAGGCTAAATTATATCACAGAACAAATTACATGCATAAATAAAAACAATATCACAGTAAGTAACATTAAAAATAAAATCTATCTTTTATGCATATAACTATCTAAAAGACAAACAATGAAATGATATATAAATACAAATTAAAATTTGTGATAAAAACATGACGTAATAATTGACAACGGTAAAAATGCGATCTAATATCCTTGAGACGCTTGCACTGCATAGGTGTATAGTTGTAGTATAGGTGTGTAGTTGTACTATAGATGCGTAGTTGCAGTTCAGGTGTGTCAGACATACCTTATTTTGACCTTATGGTGATGGTGATGGTGTGTAGTAGTGGTAGTATAGGTGTGTAGTTGTAGTGTAGTTGTACTATAGATGTGTAGTTGTAGTATAGGTGTGTAGTTGTAGTATAGGTGTGTAGTTGTAGTCGGGTTGATGGTGATTACCTGCTATATGGTTAGGCTTAGACCACGAATTTTTATTCGGGAAGCTATTAAATGGTGGACGAACTCTATGAAAGGTGTACCCGTCTTCATGTCTCACTCCTTCATGCCAAGTGACTCTACCAGCGGGGCATCCAGAAGTAGTTTTTATAAGACCATATGTTCCAGATGGCCATGTGAGAGGAATCCGTAGCTGAGGATCTAAAAAAGAAAAAAAGAAGTTATTTTGAGACCATGTTTCCCATGAGTGGAATCCATATAAGAGGGTCTAACAAGCGACAACATAAGATAATCAATGATAGAGAGAGAGAGAGAGAGAGAGAGAGAGATGGGTTTAACATCCACTCGACACAAGCCATGTCATTTCGGGACTAACATATGGTTCAATTTTATTTCAATAATTCACTTGCGCGTAGGGGTCTTTAGCAAGGGGGGGGGGCGGAGAAAACCCACGAGGTTGGACAGGCGACCCTACTCCTTGTCACGTACAACCTGGGAATCGAAACCACGCCAGACCTTATGATACTGGCCATCCAACCCCCCGATAACCAATGAAGTGAATAAATAGTGTTTCAGCAGTACACAAACTCCGTCGTATACTGTGATGTCTTTCTAATTAATTCAGCTTGAGTTCGATATTAATTTACATGCACGTTACTACATTGAGTTAGGATAAGATAAGTTTAAGGGTTAAGACTAACCTGTGGGTGGTTTAAATAGTTTGTATTTAGCATAACCATTTAAGGCCTTGACTAGGTTGATTTGTTTAAAATGTAAATAGGTCAATGGATGGCCACATGCATTCGCCACTCCCTGTCCCCACCAATAATCATAATTCAGAGCTTCTGCTATAGTCTTGACCTTGAGACCAATTGGTTCAGGTTGATTGGCGGTACCAGATGTAAGAGTTGATTGATAGGTTCCGAACTGAAGCTTATATGCACTGCTCGCTTTAAAAGTTCTGAAATCTACACTAAGAAATCCAGCAATTGACAATCCAAAGCCTCCCTAAAATCAATAATCGGACATATATAAGACTGTATACCCCCCCCCACCCATAACACTTCGGTTCTAATAGGTCGTATAGAATTCAAACGGCAATTTTGTTCATTGTTGAATTGACGAAAAAAAGAACGTAGGGAATCTAAATGAGTCATGTAAAAGACGTGTAGGTAGTCTAATATTTTCACATTTCAGCTAATTAGGATGCTCATCAAAGGAACAAGAGAACAAGCGTGTACACACCCATGGGAAATAACTCTTAATTGCAAAAGAAAATTATGGATTAAGACTAGAGTGATACCCCCATTTACTTTAATATTAAATCCATCACATTTCTTAGATCATTTCGTAGATATTATACGCCAACAATTCAGCGTGATCGTATTATGTCGTCAACCTCTTCGCTCGTCAACAATTGGCTTGTGGTAATAATGACTGGACGGCCTTTATCGATATTCAGCGTTCATAAGGTTTTCGGCAAAGCGGAGATAATTCATGCACGGAAACGTCTCTGATCTCCACAGTGCTTTACACCAAATTGTAAAGCATCACAAATGTGATGATTGCAAAAAGCATTGAATACCAACCACTAACGTAAATGTGGGTTTACTTACACTTTTCTGTACGTGGTTTATAAATTCTGTCATAGATGATTCATATCTTTTGATTACTTTTGTACCAAAATCAACCTGCATTATCACGTGCTGTAAGATAAAGACAATACGTATCCTTTTTTTTAAAATACAAATATAAGTTTATGAAAGTAGTATATTCAAATAACTTGAAAGAAGGAAACAGTACCCCTAATCTCTTCCAGTTACAAACACACTCGAACTGATCTTTTTACAAAGCCCCGAACAATCACATTGCTTCTCACTCTTATATTTCTACCTCCCTTAGTACTTGTGTTCCAATTAGAGGATCATGGTATCTAAGTGGGTAAGACGTTGTCTCGCTAGGTTGGAAGTCGAGTGTTCGATCCCTGCATTGGCCGAGAAAGTTTAACCAGATTTTCCCTTCGTGGTTCTCCCTTGTCAGTGATGCAGGACGGAGAGCCTGACAAGGACAGCTGTCTAGTCATTCGGGTGGGCCGAAAAACTGAGGTCTCGTGTAGACATTGGCGTGCCGTAATTTCCCTCATAGCACACTGTATGGCGTATGCCCGTCTTCATTAGCCCAGTTCGGAGCCGTGCAGTAGGACGTTAAACCCCATTTCATTTCATTTCGTGTTCCAATTTTGCTCAACTTGACCAAAACAGAAAATGATCACCAACGTATATAAATGAAATGTGGTTTTATGGCACATGAGTGTATTTGTGAGGGTGGTGGGGGATGGCCGAATGGTTAGCGTGTGAGCGTTGTATCATAAGGTCTGTCATTGAGTCAGTTGGCGTGGTTTCTATTCCCCGGTTGTTCGTGACAATGAGTAGGGTCGCCTGTCCACCCTTGTGTGTTTTCTCCGGGTCCTTCGGTTTCCTACCATTGGTAAAGACCCATACGTGTAAGCGAATTATTGAAATAAAATTGAACCATGTTAGTCCCGAAATGACCTTTTATGTGTCGAGTGGACGTTAAACCTCATTTCTCGCTCTCTCTGATTTATGTGTGTGTGTGAGAGAGAAATCAAACAGATAAAAATAATAAAAAACCAACCGTTCCCCAGTCATCCAGGAACGTCATGTACTTAGCTTCGTTATATAGTAGAGGAAGAGAACAAACAACAGCTGCAAAGTTACTGGTTATATGAAATTTATGCTGTGATGACAGTTCCTCAGAGAATCTAGCTGTTCCCAAGTTACAAATATTTTCATCATCGAAGATAACGTTTCCTTCTTTATTGGTTTCACTGTATGCTCGTTTATACCCTGATAAAGTTCAATATAGTATTAAAGATTATGTTAACATTATTATAGTAACAACCCATTAATTGTAGACTGACATAGAAAAATCTTTAATGTCTTTCAGGACAATAATGAGAGCGACGTGCTGACTTACCTGCACTTAAACTGAAAGCTGCACCCTTAACTTGGCCATCTCCTTGTCCTGCATCAGATGATATACAAATACATATATACATATTAGATTTAAAGTAACATATCAGAGAAAGAGAGAGAGAGAGAGAGAGGGGGTCCATTCGACACAAACTAGATCATTTCGGGACGAACACATGGTTCAATTTTATTTCAATAATTCGGTTGCGCGTAGGGGTCTTTAGTAGTGGGGGAGGGGGGGGCGGAGAAAACGAGATTGGACAAGCGACCCTACTTCTTGTAACGTACAACCGAAGATTCGAAACCACGCCAGTTGACTCAATGACGATCTTGTGATACAGCGCGCACGTGGTAACCATACGCCCCCCCTCCTCATCGTATTTGATATGTAAAGTTACCACCATACCTGAAGAAGTTACACCAACACCAAGCCTCGACTGGTAAGATTTGGTTCCATAATAAACATATGTTGACTTGACATGTAAGCAGCTTTGTCTCTTCTTGTAAACAACTTCTCTTGGGATGGTCCCTGGAGATAGCTGCAATATTTTTCTGACGCCGTTCAATCCTGGATCCACACCGCCTGCACCTCCAACTCCTCCTTCGGGATTAGCTTTCAATAAATTGTATCCAATTCCAACAAAGTCTATCCCTGGACTATATCCCTGAACAAGATGTCCGACGAGCACCACTATTGTTAGTCCCAACAGCTAAAATTGAGAAATTCGGATAAACAGATGTTGCCAATATTTTCTAAAAGAACATTCCCTATAATGCACCGTTACTTGAATCTCTTAAATACCTACTATATTTGAGTCATTTAAGCAATTTTGAATTTTTGTTTTGGTCTTAGACTTTTTTCTGAGTTGTTTCTTTTAATTGTGGATCTACCGTTTAACCTAAATGTTCTTTATAGATATATATATTCTTTTTTTACCATGTGTGATATTTTATTTTATTGAATTTCTCTTTATGTTGTACCGGCTATTGAGATCTATGTTGATGTAATTGGCGTTAAATAATAAATATTATTATTTTAAAAATTAAATTATAAACACTTATATAGATGTTTGGCGCAATATAGCCCGGTTGATGCTGACGTGCCATTAAACACCATTTCATTCATTCAGTGTGTTGTCAATATTTTCGAAAATGGAATTCATAGGAATGGAAATCCATACCAACTAATTCACGAGATTATTACAAAACATTATTAAAACATTGTTTAGCAATTAACTAATATTTGCATGTATTATACTATGTACCTATCTAGCACGTACGTGACGTTTTAAATATTCGTCGTTTCTATACTAAAAATGATGCAATGTTTTTTTTATGTTTGTTACAAGGTTTTAATGCCCATTGCTATGTGCGTGGTATTAATGTCCACTGTAAGGTGTGTGATTTTCATGCCCATTACTATGTGCTTGGTTTTCATGCCCATTACAAGGTGTGTGGTTTTAGTGTCCTATACCTGGTGCGTGGTTTTAATGTCCTTTAAATTGTGTGTGGTTTTCATGCCCATTGCAAGGTGGGTGGTTTTAATGCCTATTACTGTAATACTATATGTCTGTAGGGGTTATTTTAGTTCTGTGAATGTTGCTCGGTTTAAATTGGTTAAACAAATGGGGGTAACAAAGAGAACTGGGCTCAGTAGGCACCTTGCATTATTCTACAACTCACTGTTCTGCCACAATCTATTTATAGAAGTGTGTTACTGTTGTCCAGAAATCTGGTTCACAGCTAAGTCCAATTATAGAAAACAAGGTGGACGAAACCGGGTGCCCAAATGAAACACTTACCCAAATATGGTAGAAAGAGAGAAATGGGGTATAACGTCCACTCGACACAACCTAAGTCATTTCCCGACTAACATATGGTTCAATTTTATTTCAATAATTCGCTTGCGCGTAGGGATCTTTAGCAGTGGGAGGAAACCGGAGAACCTGGAGAAAACCCACGAGGTTGTCACGTACAACCGGGGATTCGAAACCTCGCCAGGCGACCCTATCCCTTGTCACGTACAGCCTGGGAATCGAAACTAGCCTAGTTGACTGAATGACAGATCTTATGATACAGCACGCACGTGCTTACCATTCGATCATAGCACACTATGGCACATGCATGTCTTCATTAGCCCAGTCGGAGCAGAAAAGTAGGACGTAAAATCCCATTTCATTTCATTTCATAAACGTATAAATACATTCATGTGTTTGCACCACAACCGCTGATTGGATAACATTATTGTTTATTTGTCTGTGCTAAAGGGAGATAACGTACCTAAATGTTCGGTGATTTAACACTAATCTAGCAATGGCTAGATGTTGTAAACCTCGCGGTCCTCACGAACATGTACAGTGAAATTCCCCTTCTTCAAAACCCACCAACATATGACTTGGTCCACTAAACACAAAGACATTAACAAAACTTACATGCATGGTGCTAACCAACTTATACAATGAATAAAACGACCCAGATAAAATTACTGTTATCTTTATAATTCGGATTAGTATATCTTATCAGTGATATAGATTGACACGATCTAAGGTTGGTTGCTTATAGCACACAGTTTCTATGCTAATTGTACGGTCTAACCTTTAATGCAATGAGTTGGTCGCTTATTACAGTTTATATGGTCTAATGTTTTATAACATTTAATGAGTAGGTTGCTGATTACACAGTTTGTATGCTAATTGTAAGGTCTTACCTTTTATGTAATGAGTAGGTTGCTGATTACACAGTTTGTAAGGTCTAAGGTTTTATAACCTTTAATGTAATGAGTAGGTTGCTGATTACACAGTTTGTATGCTAATTGTAAGGTCTTACCTTTTATGTAATGAGTAGGTTGCTGATTACACAGTTTGTAAGGTCTAAGGTTTTATAACCTTTAATGTAATCGGTTGGTTGCTGATTACACAGTGTGTATGCTAATTGTACGGTCTAAGGTTTTATAACATTTAATGTAGCCTTATGATAAAACAGTCACCGTGTATAAATTACAGGTGTTAAAATTTGTATGCGTCAAATAAGTTTGTCAATCAATTTAAGCACTTCAATTATAACTAGCTGCAATAGTAAAGGAATATCTATTCTGATTTTGAGGAAGCCTCTGTTAACATAAATTTAACTTGGAGTGACCGCATTACACATCTTTCAGAATACAGAATCATGGAATTGGTTTAAGCTGGCATATCACTACTAATACACTGGTGATATATAGATGATCTACTTGAATTGTGTTGAATACCGAAGTCTAGACAGGGTAGTTAGGTATTGTGTAAAGTTACAGTTATCTATTTCTTCAACACATTCCAGGTTATAAGGCTTACCTTGTATTTTTATGAAAAATAAAATGTTTTGTTTCGTGAGCTCAATAGGATTATAGTAAAAAAGATCGGTGATTAATTGTACGTCCACACCTAATGGTCTATAATTACCACAATAACATATTCATACATAAAAATACAATTAAATATAACACCGTCTTTGATTTTCTATGAGTTTAATTATGTTTTTTCAATGATAAATATTCAGGAATTTGTTTCTCCTTGTTCTTTTGAAAGAACAGACGCATATAAGGCGTGGGGGTAATTTATGATGAATGGATTTTCGAAACAAAAAAACAAAAAAAAACAAAAAATAGCAACCGACATCCTTACAAACTAATTGTAATAATATATTCTATTGAAAATACAAGTAGTTTTTAAGGATGTCGGTTGCTAGTTGTTTTTTTTTCTCGAAAATCCATTCATCAAAAATTACCCCCACTATATGCGACTGGTCTTTTAAAAGAACAAGGAGAAACAAATTCTTGAATATTTATAATTGAAAAAACATAAATAAACTCCCTAAAAATTTAAAAGATTTGCCAATTAAACATACATTATGGGGGATAAGATATAGAGATGGCAGTTCTCGCTATAATAGTTAAAAACTAGATAGTGTAAAGGTAATTTGCTGAAAATTTCAGTTAAATTGATCCACTACGAGCCGAGAAAGAAGCGGGTGAAATTTTTGCATAGTCTCGGTCATCATTACTAAAATCATTAATATAAACAGCATAGTCTCGATTATCCATTTTTTCTGATTTAATTATCAACGGCCGTTAGCGGCATATAGGAATCTAATCCAGCCAACATCGAAGGCTAGCCTTGACATCGAGAGTTTATTATGGTCTGGATAAGTTAATTAATGTCTAATTGATAATTTAGATAACATTTCAGGCCTAAAGAAAGACTTGTAATAAGCAGATTTTGCTCTTGCATAATGCATGTTTAAGATATTTGAATAAATCAATAGTTTTATATTTTCTTCTTTTCAAGTATTGGTTGTGGAGTTCTCCCACTCCCATGATAGTTCCTCAATAGGATCCGGAACGACAATTCTCCTGTCCTGCGATTCCAACATCAAAATCTCTCCATCCTCCTTTACATGCATCAAGTTTATCCTCTCTGGAATTAAAATGACCGTGTTCGGGTATTGATGGAGATGCCACGAGGGTTTTACTCTGAACGTTCAGTTTGGGTGGCAAAATATCACCTAGGTTACTATATTTCTGGCTCATAATAGTAGTTTCTATTAATATAGAGGGCAGCAATGCCGTCTGCCATGAGTGGCTTTTTTAAGATTTTTGTGACAAGTCGAGCATTGATTTATCCTACTGTGGAGGTGTGTACCTTATGCCAATGGTTGAAATACTTCCTCAGTCAACTATAATGCTGCGGATCACAGGCAGGCACATGACACAACATTACTTGGTCCGGAAAAAAACCCTTAAGTTAATTCTGGAACTGTTGCGGTTCATCAACGGATATCTCTAACTCCATAAGAAACACTGTAAGATGAAAATACTCAGTAAACAAGAAAATACGAATAAATGATTTAACCCGTTAATCTACTGTTTGTATTGCCTACCCTTTAACCTGTTTGTTTATATTATTATGGGAAATAAGACTCTGTTTTAGAAGTCGATGAGTTCGATTCCACTACATCCCCGTCCTAGCTATCAGTCTTCTAGCCAGTTACAGGGCGCATCTAGACTCGCATATTGTTCCAAATGATTGACATGAACCGAAATACAAGGGCTAGTATTAAATTTTTGAATTCTATAGGTAAGATGACTTAATTTAGCCACTATTAAATAGGGTCTAGTCCAACCTAATGATAATTTACGAGCGGCATGTGGAGGATACCAACGCCACACCCAGGTTCCTATCAATCTTTATCATAGTTTTTCTTTTGTTTAACAGTTCCCAGCATATTGCATGCAAATTCAAATGTTGTTTTCATTGTATTTTTCAGCCATTCTACATATTTGATTGGACAAGTGTCATTTTGTTCCAAAGGGGTACCAAACATAATATCTACTGGACGAGATAAGTCTGTCCAGCATTTGTAAATTTGGTGTACATTGAGTAGATTTTTTAACGGAGCTATGTAAGCCATGAGGGGAAAAGGACACGAAATCATCCCAATCTGTCCGATTCTCATTACAAAAGATTCATCTAATTGTGGATGATAAGGGGTTGTAAAGGATTTATTAATATCAAGCTTTTCGTACATGGTAGAAAACAACGTTGACTCGAATTCTCGCTGCTGATCTGTATGAATTTACTCTCGGCATCCAAATCTACAAATAATAACGTTATGTTATATACACCTGTTGACAATAGGTAATTGTATATAATTTATCATATATTCCGTTTTAAATATTTATATATGTAAACAATTTGATTTATTTGTTTTTATTTACATATATAAGCACATCTCTCTGATATTGTTTTAATTTGCCCCGTGAACTCTCCATATGTTTGGCTCAATATTCCCGGTTGAAGCTAACGCGCCATTAAACAGCATTTCAATGTCCACAACGTCCTTTAAACATTCTGAAATAGAAAACTTAGCTGATGGTGACATGACATCAAACGGGTTCCTCCGCTTGGTTGGATCAACTTTTGGTGTGGACTGGCATACTGGCACCATATCTTCACCTGCAAGTGATGGCTGTGTTTTCATTTCATCTATAAACTGCCGACGTATACTATTTTCTTCGAGTTGTCGGTTTCTTCTTTCATTTCATCCATTTTTTTTCTCGAATTCTTGGGCAGGTTTATTATCTCCTGTGCTTTTTTTTTAGATAACTAAAATCTTATTCTATTTCTTTTAGCTTATCGCTTGAATCATTATACAGATTTTCTACATCTTCTAATTTTCATTCAAACGTTATTATTAATTTTTCAATGACGAATTCCTTTAGACCTATTTTTTCAAGTTCCGCTTCCTCCATCTTGAAGTCTGAAATGACACCGCTTCTATAACGACGACTTTCCCCGCTAAAGAATCACGATTGCTTATAGGCATACCCTGGGTGTACACTGAATTGAATGTAATGTTTGTGTTAATTGTTACAATCTTTTTACAGCAAGAAGTGGGAATGCCAGAGAATTAAAGGAGGCGAGCTCAAAACATTAAAGATTTTCTTTAGTTTTGCCCTCGGGCTTTCAATCACATGGGCTTAGGCCCTGTCGCGACGGTTTCACATGAGAACTTTTTGATAGTTCTGACAGTTCAGTGGTTGTTTGTAATGGCCGACTACGCGTTTTATCTCTGTCGTGATAGCGTTGATTCATCGGAGGATGCCATGGCAGAGATAGAAATGGATTTAATTTTCAAAGCTGGAAACTGCGACTGCTTACATGGTGGAGATAATGTTGTTGAGTCTGATGGTAAAAGTGAAATGAAAGATGTTTCTTCTTTGTCAAGTTCAAAGGCGAGACGTTGCCCTTTTGATAGGGCTATACCTTGTCTAAAAGATGCTGGCATAAACTTTCACATTAATTAGACAGGTGGTGATGAAATTGCTGGTGTTGACTAGCATGAACCCCCCTTCACCACGGATGAGGTGAACCAGTTGCGTCTTAGGGCCTATATAATGATGTAGTAACACTTTGGAATTGATTTGGTCAATTATATAAAGCAATTCATGTTCAACCAACTGCCTTATGACATGTTTTCTTTGTCTTACAGGAAGGAAAAAGATTCATTTCAAGAGAGTTTTGTTTCCGGAAAAGAAACCCCATTAGTAAGGTACAAATTCTATTCACTTCGCATTGCCTATTCCATCAACGAACAAAATTTTATATATTTATTTCTTAACGTGCAAATGACGATACAAGAATCAAATTTGGCACAATTGTTCTCCAAGGGATGCTAATCCAATCTGCCCGATTGGCCAATTGAAAATCCAAGATGGCGGCCATTTTTCAAGATGGCCGCCAAAATGGCCACCCGAAGTTGATGTTTTGCTTAGAAATATTTGTAGTTGTCCGATTTGCATGATCTAAGTGTCATGATCTAAGCCTGCTGAACTACATTTTCCTGTTCAAAAAGCATCCGAGACATATTTTCACAGGAACGGCACATATCTATTTTAATTTCTATAACAAATTTACATTAAAAACAGGATTGTTTGTCTTTCTTCACACTCCGAGACATATTTTTCTCACTTCGCATGTTTATTTATAAGTTTCATACGTTTGAATGTCTTTGCAATGTATGGGGTGTAGTGTTAGAGGTAGTACCTTTGTACAGATCGCACGGGATTTATGACACTGGATGAACGATCTGACTAGTTGTATCCCATACAGGAAAGTGCCCATTATAAATTACATATTGTATAGCGTACATCATGTATATAGTGTACCTAGTGTATAGTTCTATAGAGTACATACATAGTAGGTAATTAGTGTACATACATTACATACATATACATAACAGGGTCGTAAAAGAATAATCCCTCGAACCTGAACGTCATCGTGGCCATGGATGCGAACCCTACTGGAAATTTGTGGAAAACAGACTGGACTAAGTGTTGCCTTTGTCAGGAGGTAAAGGAGGTAAACCCTGGCAGAAGACGGGATGGTGGATATATGAACCTGGCAAAGCATATTCTTCTGTTTCACTCACTCAATGCACCACCAATCAATCTAGACACTGCAAGACTTGACGAAGGTTCTGGGATCGAGAAAACTACAGATCAAGCGCAGCCACTGGTGTGGACGAAGCAAGACTAGATCTGTTTGCCCGCAAGCAGAGGCCGTACAACTCAATTCCACCAACAGAGGCAGCCCTCAGAGAACATGCAATTCGTGCAACCTACCAGACTAGGATCATTTGGGGCCAAGCAACCAAATGTAATCCAGATAAGAGCAGTCCAGCTGAATGGGAGTGGACACAGAAAGGAGAGGCATGGCAGATACATTGGACAACACTACCACCGATTGCAGTTCCTGTAAGAAGGTTTGCAAAGGAAGGTGCAAGTGCTCTCAGACAGAGCTCCCTGCACATCACTCTGCAGCTGCGTATGTGAACAGTAGCAGATCGAGGACCCGCAGCACAGATATGTACATAACTTTGAAAACGTACTAGCTGGGACAAAGCTTTTATATGTGAAAAAAGACGTCTTCAATGTAAATTTGTTATAGAAATTAAAATAGATATGTATATTGTGTGTATATATATATAAAAAAGTAGGGGATATTGTAATGCAAATACCTATGCAGGTTGTGATAGGATAAATAGTCATGGACACTTGACATGCTTTGAGAGAATGTTCACAGATGAAGAACTTTTCGCCCCGACAGAACCACTGAGCTACAATAGGGTTGGTGAAAACTGCCAGTGCTGGTTTATCCTATACATGTTTGCTTTCCTATCAGTTCTAGCATAAGAATTACTGTTTAGCGTATCTTTGCTTTAGTGTGTTACGTTTAATTTGCAATGAGACGTCTTCAACATGATGAACGTCTACGTGCTATTGGCATGCTTCAAATGGGTTCTTCACAGCGAGCAGTAGCCAACATGCTTAATGTGTCACAGTCTGTGATCAGCAGACTGTGGAACCGGTGCCAACAAACCCACAATGTTGATTATAGACCTCGTTCGGGTCGTCCTAGAGCCACTACACAAACTCAGGATTGATACATTCATACACAGGTCCTGCGAAATCGAGGACAAACGACGTATAATTAAAAGGAAGACTTATTATAAATAGAAATGAAGCAATTATTAAAGCTATTAAAAAACGTACACAATTTACGAAATCCAAACACAGGCAGGTTACAATTGAAAATATTTCAAAAATCCAAATTAAAGATACATACATTATCGGCGATTGGATAGAGAGCTGGCAGTTCTCACTATAATAGTTAAAAACTAGATAATGTAAAAAGAAATTTGCTTAAATTTTTCAGTCTGGATAAGCTAATTAATGTCGAATACATAATTAAGATAATATTTCAGGCCTAAAGAAATATTTCAAAAATCCAAATTAAAGATACATGCATTATCTACGATTAGATAAAGATCTGGCAGTTCTCGCTATAATAGTTAAAAACTAGATAATGTAAAGGGAATTTGCTGAAAATTTCAGTCTGGATAAGCTAATTAATGTCGAATTAATAATTTAGATAATATTTCAGGCCTAAAGACCGACAATAAGCAGACTTAGCTCTTGCATAATGCATGGTTAATCTTCATTTGTAAATGAATAAAATCACAACATAGGTTGGTTTATGCTGCACCCATTTGGCCATATCTTTTAAGTTTTTCTAAGAAGTAATTGCAAAATAAAAAGATAGTTATGCTCTATCCAGGCTTTACTGACTTCCAATGTGGATTTCGGTCGCAAAGTAAGGACGAGAAGACGATCAAGATACACGTTAAGCCAGACTAAAGAAGTACAAACAGCGTTCTTTATGTTGACGACTTTCGGAAGTGCTATGGTTTTACAGACATGCAGATAATTGAACACGAGTTGCAAATCTGCTTGAATTCACTTCAACAATGGGCAACGAGGTTTGCATCCAGATAAAATGAACCCCTATACTAGGATGGCAATCGCCTTCCAGTTGTGGATAAAACCAAATTTCTGGGGTTGATATTTCAGAAGCATTTATCATTATGAAATACTGACTTATATACACATCAAACTATTGTGTATTAACGTTAAACATGATAATATTTGTTAACTTGTGCGTCAAGATCAGGACGCGAGGAACATTGTGTTTACAATATAGTTAAAGGGACACAACTCCATATGACATTGTGTAGAATCTTATAGATGAGCGGGAACTTTTGTAAAATACAAGCATGGCAGTATAGTCACAGAATATTTAAACAAAATGTTACTGGTATTTTACTCTAATGAGACCACAAACAAGTCGCATGTTCTAAGTTTAAAACATACGCCTAACATCAGAGACCTTTCGCACTGATGTGATTCTCGCAAACTTCATAGCTGACATTTGGGATGGCTATTCCTTAAAATGGTTGACATATTGATTAGACAGGTCTATGTGCAACGTTATTGTATTTGAAATGAAACCATTTTGGTATCTAACAGAGCCATTAAAGCTGTTCAAACTAATTATTTGATTAATATTTATAATTGTCAACTAAAGTCACTGATTTACGTATACACCATTGGTTACAGGTGGCGCCAATATTTGATAATTGTTCTCGGAAGATCTATTCACCATGACGGCATACGTAGGTTGAACGTCGTCAGCTGTTGCGTTAGAATCTTGCACGGGTGACATTTCATACTGGTGATTATCTTCTCTTGGCGTCATGACATCGTACATGTTTTCAGGGTGGTTGACGTCAGATCTACGACATGTACATTTAGATACGTATTCAACATGTGTCTTATCCTTTCTTCGTATTATACTGAAATAATTATATATATTGTGTGTTTTAATACAAATAACACCATATTTATTCAATATAGCGTTGCCGGGGCAACAACAATACATCCACTATCGTCCTTGAAAACGAAGGCAATAAAAGCGTCAAATTATCGTGTTCATAACTCTTGAGTTTTGAAACATTACACAGTGTTGGTAAAGGGTGCGTAAGTCTGGTTGGACACTGGACCCTTTGGTCTGACTCAGGTATTCAAGCGAACTGGGAAAGATTTTGGCTTGGCCATTATTTAGATAATTTAATATATCCTGTTGGATGTCTATTCTAACTGAAATACTTTTCCCACATCGTACAACGTATTCCAGTCAATGCAGCATACCCCATTCACACCAAATAAATATTACATAATCCATTGGCCTGTTGTGGATTTTTAAGACAGATTGCCAGGCAACGAAACATACGCCCGAAGCAGCTAATTCGTCGGAACGATCAACAAGGCATGTCGCATATTTTTTCTTTTGTCGGTAAGAAAAACATTTACAACGCCCAATTACCAATAACAACCCATTAATTAATTGTCAGACTTGTTTGGCTTCTAGTTCTGCTCTATACTAACGTTTAGTACACAAGACATTCAATATCAAGGGTCACAGATCTGGAATTAATTAACGGAAATAAATAGGATTTTTCGTCTCATTACCTCAATTGTTTAACCCCCAAAGCGCAGACGGGAGCGACGACAACATACGACCTGGGCCTATAAAAAAGTGTCGAAAACCTAAAATCAGCAAATAGGCTTAAATAACATTAATCCGCATACCAAGTTTCTTTTAAATTGTATTTCAAAAACCGGGCATTGGAATGATCAGATTTGTATGCATCACAAATAAACAGGTATACACCGGCTATATTCATGTTATTGGGCCCTTTGATGATGATTACTTACCATATAAGTATGACAATGATTATGATTACTTACCATATAAGTATGACAATGATGATAATTAAGACAAGAAAACCAAATGATACTCCAACAGCTATACCTGTAACTAGATACACAATGGTTGATATAAAAGGGGTTTAGTTCAGAAGTCGGTCCAATTCGTTGATTATGAAAAGAGATTTGCCCAGTTATCAGGAAATAAAATATATCATTATTAGCGATCGAATACAATATATAGATGTGTTATTAAAAATGTTGCCCATAACATATATGCTACACACATATATGAAATTGTCAATCAAACCTTATAAATCAAAAATATCGAGTAAATGCATCATTCCATTAATTTAGACTTATATTACCCATTCTTAATCACAATTATAAGTTTAGCGTCCACAATGTTTTCTTATTAGGAATAAACAAGGAAAGCAAAGACAAGACGCAATTCCACAAACGACTGCTTTGTGGGGGGAAGGGGTATTGTCTCTGTTTACCCATTGATGGCATGGATTAGAATACAATTAATGTGAACCCACAAGCCTTGAAGACCAAAGGTCTCCAATGACTAATATCGGGAAGGAAACTTCTCCGTGAAAGGTGGTGGTATTGGCCTGCATTGTATGGGGGGTATGATGAGGTATAATTACTATCCCTGAAAGGTGGTATTGGCCCACCTAGTATGGAGGATATGATGAGGTATGAAAGGTGGTATTGGCCCACCTAGTATGGAGGATATGATGAGGTATGAAAGGTGGTATTGGCTCGCATAGTATGGAGGATATGATGAGGTATGAAAGGTGGTATTGGCCCACCTAGTATGGAGGATATGATGAGGTATGAAAGGTGGTATTGGCTCGCATAGTATGGAGGATATGATGAGGTATAATTACTATACATTTCATACTTTACATACTAATAATATCTTAACCTGCAGGTAACACGTTATTTGATGTAAGTGTTGCTGGTTCCGTTGAACCAATTATAGATGTGATGCCACTCACTGCCGTTCTGTCCGTGGATGCCTCACCAAGAGCTACCCCACCCACAGATGTCATAATTTCTCTTGATGTATTAGGAATGGTGGTTGCTTGTGATGTTGGTTTAGGATTGGTTCTTGCTTGTGTTTCTGGTTGAGGGCTTGTTGTTTCTGTGGTAGTAGCATCGTTACGCCAGCAGGTGATGGTAAATGTGTTATCTAGAACAGAAACAGATAGTATAAATTTGATAAATATGTCATATTGTATAAATGTGATAGAACGTCGATTACACGTCTCACTGATGTTGGTAAAATATCTGTAATTGTCCCGTGTTTTTATACGCCCACATTTTCATGTGGACGTATTATGCCGTTGCCCCTGTCCGTCCGTTCACAATTGTTTGTGGACTCTCGGCAGGTCACAATTCTTATCCGATTTTGACGAAACTTGAAATATAGGTTTATCCCCAAAAGATCTCGACTGCTTTCGATATTGGCATGTATCGGGTTGAAACTTCATGGATTATGGCCCCTGATTGTACGAAAAATCACGTTTTTAGCTTGTGGACCCTATAGAGGTCACAATTTTTATCCGATTTTGTTGAAAATTGAAATGTAAGTTTATAACACAAAGATCTCAATTCCTTTCGATATTCGCGCATATTGAATTGTAATTTCCTGAATTATTGCCCTTGATAGTAGGAAAAATCACTTTCTTGTTAGCTTGTTCTCTATCCATCTCTCGAAAATGTGGGCGTATTCTGCCTGGCAGCCGCTGGTTACTAATGATCTAGTAAATGATTCAGCTATATGCCAATCATTCCAATAAACACATGCACTCAATGCCCAAAGTGCGGTAAAAACGGCAACAACAAACCCTCGGAACACAGAGCTCAATTATCAGGCCCCAAGCACCAATTTAAAGCTTTGTGATACGGTTTCAAAGGAATGCCAACATCCTGATGTTAGATAAGACGAGCTTTTTGGCACAACCTTTGATGAAGCGAGGAGTGATATTCCCCCCTGATCCCTTTTCATTTAATTGAAATCAACAACAACGTAAATAGGCTATTTCTTCAAAGTGTGATTTCGGAGACCAGTTGAAAACTTGGGTTCCACAGTTAAAAAGTTTACAAGTACAACCAACAGCTCTTTTCCAATGAACAATAAATACATCAATGTCAGTTTCTGTGTTAATTATAATTTGAGTTAAGTTTAAGGCATTTACATTTTTAAACTGTAAACGGTATGTGTACAGTCCGTCGTGTGAGAACCAAATATAATTATTTATTAGTCCACTCCATACATTAAAACACTTTATATATAAATGTTATGACAATGTCAATTTGTTTCGTTTTGTGCGAACTTACTTGTATCAATGTTGAAGATTGTCGTGGTTATATGTAAACAGAATCCAGTAGAAGTTGGTTGTGTTGTTGAATCTCTGGTAAATGTCAACTGGAAGGATTCATTTAAACTCAGTCGATAGTATACTATCTCATTATCAGAACACGTCCAGCTATCATTGTTAAACGTGTTATAATTAACCACTTTATATCCACATCCTTTTACACCCTCTATATTGAATACATTAACAAGGTTACTGCCAGATGACTCTGCTCTAACCATCGTGACCTTACATATACAACCATCGGCCATGCTACCATTAACAGGTATATTCATCTGTGTATAACTGTTGGTACTGTTGGTACATACAGGTACTGAAACATCAATATCACTTTGATTATTAGTATAATACTTATACTAAACCCATTGCATCCAAAATATTTAATTACAGAAACGCATTATCTGACATCAATGCAAAAGACTTATATAATAACCCTCTACCATGTTCTTGCTCTACGTCGTCCTTCCTTTACCCACCAGCTGGACATGTGGTCACTGGTGATTTGAACATAGTCCAGAATATTAAGCTACGTGAAATTGTGTCCAAAGGACCCAAATACCGGGAACCGCAACCATTTTCATGGGATCAAAATTTCAAACTTATTATGGATGCCGTAGAGGACTACGCTAGATCATGGGCCAAGAGGGAAGATGTTATCTCGGATACTCTCTCTGATTGGACTAAGTCTATCAGTCGTTTACTTAAACGAAGAATATACATGCAACGTTTGTCACGCGTAAATTTTAAACAGATTTCTTCGATTATGAACAAACTACTTAACTTTGGTTATTATAAACTTACCTGTGTGTTTGTAATGAACTCCCGTTCGATAAAATCCATTGCACAACTAATTATCACAACGATGAGAACAAGTTCTCTCTTGAAAAATTTGAAAATTTACTTGTAATTTCGACAGAGTCGATGTCAACAATGTCTTCATGACGTATTGGTCGAATCCAATATACCTGTTGCGGGGGTTGGTTAACATTGAAAGATATTTTGACAGCGCTATCATTTTGATCGTATATGTTTTTGGGCGAAGAAAAATATCAATTGAAGGCAATTACATAGGAGATTTATATGGAAACCATTGATCGCCAGTCTATCAAATTTTCTTCACAATTGCACGGATACTCGTAAAAATAAAGTCATGTATAAACTATATATATCCTATCTTCTTTATGTTATAAATAATTTAACAAGGATCATGAAGCTTACCTCCGAATTCTCTGAGTGTATTTTTAATTTTATACGCATTCTTTCGATCGAATAATAACCGCTTCAGTAACATATATAATGGTATATAATGCTACTAAGCCCGTATGACCCCGTAAGAAACGGAACATTAATTCTCGATTCGACAGTTTTGACCGAAGTGTGATAAAGCCCGTAAAACGAATGTATAGTTGTGTTTGTGCGGCATGCGTGTTCAAAAGTAAATAATCCCATCCGAGTCGCTAATCAAATAATTAGAACAAAATATTTCAAAAAGTAAAGCTATAAAATTTGCAGAGATTTTACTAGAATGTAAAAGACGGTAACTAAATACAGGAATGCGGGTAGTTATGTGTGCGGACGCTCAAACTCAATGCCAATTGTCGTAGGTATCCAGACCACTCGGACCAAAGACTACTCGGACTAAGACCAGTCGGACCAAAACAAGACCAGTCGGACCAATTAAATTATATTATAAGGCTAGACAATATGCTATTTATTTATTATTATATCACAATACAAAGAAGAAAATAATTCTTATACGGAATTCTTATATTTAGAGTTGTTTAGTTCAATTTTCTGTACGGAAAATAAATCAACGATTAGTTTTAAAATTAATTAATAATGGTGCCAAAAAAAATATCAATCTAATTTTTCTTATTTACTCTTGCAGTGAGACTCGGTATGTCCAGACTTTTGACAGTTTCTACATATACGGGTATACTGTTCTTGTCTGATAGCCTAATTTTACTTTTTCCACATTCGCGGTATCCCCAGTGGTTTCATTCCGTTCTACCCCACTAACCCCTGGGTTACTATATAGGGGGGGGGGGGGAGACACGTTTTCAAGTTATCCGCCCTTGATGCGTTAATATAAACAGCACATAATAATACGAAGACCGGACGTTTATATGCCCCTTTTTAAACGTGACTACAAGTGTGGTTCTCGATATTTTGCGATTTGGAATACAATTATCAATTTATTCAAACAACACGTTATTATTAGTTCGAGTAGTCATATTAAAACACACACAATTAGAAATTTATTCAAATAACACTTTATTATTGGTTCGAGTAGTCATATTAAAATAAACACAATTATCAATTTATAAAAATAACACTTTATTATTGGTTCGAGTAATCATATTAAAACAAACGCAATTATCAATTTATTAAAACAACACTTTATTATTGGTCCGAGTCGTCTTTCTGTTGGGTCCGAATAGTCTTTTTGTATGGTCCGAGTAGTCTATCAGTTGGTCCGACTGGTCTTGAACCGAGTGGTCTTTGGTCCGAGTGGTCATGGATTCTTGTCGTAATTGTACTTGAATTTCCTATGCTGTCACCCCTAATACGAAATGATATCTTCCGCAGAGTGACGTAACCATCTTCCATATTGGTATTTTTCTCTGGGAAAAGTTTGTGATATTTCAATTTTTCAAGAGAGAACTTGTTTTCATCGTTGTGATAATTAATTGTGCAATGGATTTTATCGAACGGGAGTTCATTACAAACACACAGGTAAGTTTATAATAACCAAAGTTAAGTAGTTTGTTCATAATCGAAGAAATCCGTTTAAAATTTACCAAGACTCAGACAGTAAGTCTATTTTCAATGATGTTAGCATTGTTGAAAATCTCAATGCCTTGCATGACAAGTATGTCATTGTTCCGGCTGACAAGGCGTCCAATAACATAGTGTTTATATGTAAACGACATTATTTTGACTGTCTGTTCAAAGAACTTAATTTCGGGAAACCAATCGACAGTGCTACATATAAACGATCTACTCTTAGTAAGGATGAAGTTATATCCAATCACAAATCTGTACTCACTTCATTTGGTACTCCGTGTGGAGATACCTATACAGATTTGCCCTTGTTATATTGGATACCTAAACTACATAAAAATCCCTACAAGCAACGTTTTATAGCGGGTTCATCCCGTTGTTCCACAAAACCACTTTCAAAAGTATTGACATCTATACTAACGGCTGTTAAAGAGGGTATTCAAAAATACTGTGACAAAATATACTCTTGTAGTGGTATAAATCAAATGTGGATGTTGAAAAATTCCAAAGAATTACTTGATGGTTTGCAATCTAGATCCCTTGCTTCAGTCTCATCTATTCAAACGTTTGACTTTTTTACTTTGTACACTAAAATTCCCCATAGTAAATTTAAAGCCCGGTTGAAAGACATTATTCACAGTGTCTTGTCGTCTAAATCAGGTACTGCTAGATATCAATATTTAGTTGTAAATTACAATTCCACATATTTCGTTAAGAATCACAGTGATTCCAAAAACAAATTCACGGCCATCAAGGTAATTCAGATGTTGGATTTTTTAATTGATAACATCTTTGTTGAATTTGGAGGGGAAATATATCAGCAAGTGGTTGGCATCCCCATGGGCACCAACTGTTCACCTTTGCTTGCTGATCTGTTTCTCTATTCGTACGAAGCCGATTACATACAGACGCTCGTAAAAACTAATAAACGATCAGTCAGACTTTTTAATTTCACTTATCGATATATCGATGACGTTTCATCACTTAATAATCCTAAATTTAGTGATTATGTAGAATTCATATATCCTGATGAGCTCGAAATTAAAAACACCACTGACAGTGACAATTACGCTTCCTACTTGGATCTGCGTCTCGATTTTGACAATTGCCATAAACGGAGTGTTAAATTGTACGATAAACGTGATGACTTTGACTTTCCAATTGTTAACTTTCCATTTATTAGTAGTAACATTCCAATATCACCAGCTTATGGAGTGTTTATGTCTCAGCTAATTCGTTACGCGAGAGCCTGTTCCTTTTATTCTGATTTTTTAAGTAGATCGAGGCATTTGTCATCTAAGCTTCAGCTACAAGGATACTTGCGCACTAAACTTATTAAAACCTTTAAAAAGTTTTATGGCCGTCATATTGATTTGATTGGTAAATATAACGTGTCTCTCTCGGCTATTATTCTAGATATATTTAATTGACACGTATACTATTACTATATCCCTGATAATGTCTACTACATTCATCGTGCATTTTGCATACCGATAGTTCATTGGCCAATCACGCTATTTTACCGACATTTCGCCTAATAGTTTGGATGCAGCTATTGCGGGTGTGGCGCCAGGCAGGGTAAGCTTACTCTTCCGGACACCTGTTACCATTGTTTGTCGTGTATTTTGTACACGAGGAGCAGTCCATTTGCTGATTACACTATTTTGCTTGAATACACTATTTTGCCTATAACGTTTTTTTAGGACTTCGAATTCTGTCTTATTGTTTGGATTGTTCGTACTTGGTTTTATTTTATTTATACTAATATTACCATCTTTTAACAACGAATTAACCCATTATTCTAATGTAATATGTTCTTTCTCTTTCAAGTTACTTTTTATCACCTTTAGATGTCCCGTGCTCGCTATATCAACATTTGATATATGACTACTGTTTTGTGTCAGGGAGCAACGTCATGTCATAAAAAAAATCTAGCATAACATGCATTGTTTGCTTCAGGGGTAACAGCATAACTACATTTATGTGTTAGCAAAATCAACTCGCTCCAACTAAGCAAACCACTCAGTTTTTTGAAATTATGTAATTATTTGACCTAAATGCCAGAATGTCGTTTCAAGTACAACAGCATTGTTTTAGCTATTGGAATCATCAAATAATTCCAGAATATTTAAAGAAACACCAGAAGTCACAGACTCGGTGGTTTAATTCTATATATTTGTGAATTCATCAAATGATAAGTGTTTGCCCTCCCATTACCCATTACCCATACGATACCCATCATCAACTGGAGTTCTTACATTTGCTCAATCAGAGTTTCATGATGAATTGCTAACATTTTTAAAAGAGACAAACTTTTATTAAAAATTGTAATTGTATATATTTATCATATATAGGGTTTTAAATATTTATGTATGTAAAGAAATTGATATATTTATTTTTAATTATATTTTCATATATGGATACATTCCTGTGCTATTGTTTTAATTTGTTTCGTTAGTCACCATCTATACTGATGTCCAAAAGAAAGTATACACACTAAAAGTAGGACTAAGTTTTGTTTAGATTAAAAACATTTGATAAAGCATTACTGAGGTTGTCTCTTGCGTCCAAACTCAACATTTGTAAGCAAAATAAAAATGTGAAACAAATTGACATTCTACCCAAATACCGTATACCAAGGAAAAACGACTTTGGTTGATGCAGCACAAAATGCACAGTGTATACTTTCTTTTGGACATTAGTATATATGTTTGGTGTCATTAAACAACATTTCTTTTCATTTTCTTACCTATATTGGTACTAGATGCACATTGACCATTTGCTGCTGAAATAAAAATAAGTAATTCTAAGCCACATGATCTGAATCTGAGTGATCCGAAACCTAAATTGATAACTAGCCCCAGTTCAGCCCGGTACGCCCAAATATGAATTAAATCGTTGAAATAACAATTACATTTCTGTGATTTTCCTTGGCCCTGAGGGGGGCATATGGTTAACGTTTGATCACATGGTATGTCATTGAGACAAGTGACGTGGTTCCGAATCCCCGTTTGTTTGTAGCCATTTAGTAGCACCTAGTATTAATTCGGTGTCTATGTACCCGGCGACTGCAAGTACGCAACTGATCGTCAACTGGCAGCAGCTAGTTGGTGGCTCAATACAACGCACGTGCATCAACATCGATGAAGCAGAACATAAGCGCTTCAGTGGGGCATGGGCTTTTTTTTTTCAAAACCACGGTGACTAAGTGCGTAAGACGCTGGCTCTCGATTCCGGTGTTGGCCGGGAAAGCTCATCGTGGTTTCCCCTTGTCGGTAGTACAGTTAGGAGGACCTGACATGGACAGCTGTATAGTCGACCGGGACGTCCCCGCCCCTTGACAGTTTGAATATGATGTAAGAGTAGGCCGTAACACAGCTGTCCGCCAAAATGTCCATCATATCACAATGTATGGCGTATGCCCTTCTTCACGTATGCCCGTATTCATTAACCCAGTCGGAGTAGGACATAAAACCCCATCTCATATCATTAGTAGCAAGCGTGCATGTACCCCGGGCTTTTAAAAGATGTTAAATTATAAACTTACCTAAGGTATAAGACATAATTTCTATTGTCATTATTATCCAAATAACATCCATGGTGAGTGGAAATGTTTATGTATAATTTAATGTTGACAACGTACAAGTATATATACCTAGGTATATAAGATATAACTATTCAGTTCACATGATTGCATTTGAATACAATACAAAGATATCCCTGTTGAACGATTAATGTATTCTTATATGCGTATACCTGTATGTTGTATTAATATTAGGTGTGTTATATATCGTGTTAATAGTGGGTAATATACGTCTCCAGACAAGGAAGTGCATATAACTGGTGTAACAATATAGAGAAAGATACTTGTACAGTTGGGTCAAAGCTAATTATTTTATCTTTACAACGTGACTTATAACAACCGCTCTATTCTGTACTAAATATGGCCTACAACTGATGATATCATATTTCTTAGTATTGAGGCGTCTTCTTTTACTGTAAGACTTGGTTCAGTCAGTGACGGAATTGTTCAGTAATCCAAATATGAAAAATATGCTGATGGTTTTGCTCAGAAGGAAGGTGAAGCAGTATGTAGACAATTAGGATATCCCCGAGCTACATTTCCTTATAGCACACTGTATTGCGTATGTCCGTCTTCATTAGCCCAGTTCGGAGCAGAACAGCACAGGAAAGGGTTTTAAATGCTAAATGTCAACTGTATTCAATCTAATTTGTCTTAATAATTGGTGAATGACGTTTCATTTACAATATTGGGTGACTTTTCAAGTAATATATCTGCCAAACGTATATTATATTATACGACATAAATATAGTTATTATGAAAGGCTAAATTTACAAATAGGTTGACTGTATTCAACCTTCTTGTCTTAATCGCTTCTACTTTAGTATACAAATGAATATGGTATATGAATACAACCCCTTGTATATTGTTACACCAGTTATATACTTCCTTGTTTGTAGACGTATATTGCCTACTATTAACACAATATACAGGTATGCCATACTAGTTTATGTACCTGATATTATACAGGTAGATGTACTTGATCATCTTTAAACTATACCTAATAAATTCCACTGACTTATTTTATACATCATGGCTGTGTTTTGGATAATAATGATAATAGAAATTATGTTATATACACTAGGTAAGTTTATACTAATTTATATACAGACTATTAGTATACATGTATATAGGTATATATATTTGTACGTTAGCAACTTTTTGGGGTCATGATGATTAAGTGGGTAAGACGCTGGCTCGCTAGCCTAGAGTTCGGGTGTTCGATCCCTGCATTGGCCGAGGAAGTTCATTCAGATTTTCCGGCGTGATTCCCCTTTGTCAGTGATGCAGGACGGAGGGCCTGACAAGGATAGCTGTCTAGTCGTTCGGATGGGACGAAAAACACATTGGCGTACACGTAAAAGATCCCTTGGCAGCTGGAATTCGATATAAGAGTAGGCCGTAGCAAAATTTCCTTTCATAGCACACTGTATGGCGTATGCCCGTCTTCATTAGCCTGTTTAGGGACAGAACAGTAGGACGCTAAACCCCATTTCATTTCATTTCATTTGTCCTCATCATAAATAATTGAAAAAAAAATATCGAAATATACCATGAAGCAATATTTGGTTAGTATGATTTATAATATAGAACACTCAGTTTTAGGGAATGATAATTCGATTCGTTTTGGCATTTCTTCATTAAAAACTCTGCTACAAATATAAAGGGCCAAGGAACAACATCCCAGAACCTTTATTGATATTTATTGAGGTGCCGGATCATTCAGATTCAGATCATGAACATTTAGTTATGTAGACTTAGAATGACTTATTTTTATTTCAGCGGCAAATGGTCAATGTGCATCTAGTACCAATATAGGTAAGATCACCAGTTGGTGACGGGTATAGTATGGGTAAGATCACCAGTTGATGATGGGTAACGTATAGGTAAGATCACCAGTTGGTGACGGATATAGTATGGGTAAGATCACCAGTTGATGATGGGTAACGTATGGGTAAGGTCTCCAGTTGGTGACGGGTATCGTATGGGTAAGGTTGGCGCTGGTGGGGGGGGGGGCGGAATAAAGGGGAGGGTATGCGTTACGTTTCTTAAACACTTTGTAACACTTATCATTTGATGGATTCACATAGGCTTCTGTGGTCATTAAATAAATACAAATAAAAAAAAACAATTCTGTTATACTTCAGAGCCAGTCACTTTTGGTGTTCTGTAGTCCTATACCTCTGAAATTCGGATTAAGATGTGGGTAATGCTAACTGCTGTATCCTCGTCTTCCTCGGCAATACTGTAGTCTTATTCCGATCAGCTTGTGGTGTCATTCAAGCACACGTTGCCTACATAGAAAACAAACAAGACATAACACAAGCAACATAAACAAGAATTGTAGAATGAACTGACATAATTTCCAGCCTTATCCTGTTTAATAATGTGACTGTGTAGTTTGCTTGGTTGGTAGGAGTTGCGAATACAGAAATTTAGTTCTGCTGAAAACACCTCATCAGAATAATAATTAAGGATATATTCTTGTAATAAATCAAAACAATTCAAACTAACCATATGGTCAACTCATTTTAAAAAGATGATGTGGCAGAGTACAGTGTTCTACCGATTTAATCACACCTTTTATTTATGACCGCTGGCAACGGTCTTGGGATCTTGCAGGCACAAATAAATCACATTAAGCCTCTCTTAGCCAAGCTCCTATAGAACCAACAGGACAGATGAAGTTGTTTTGTGTCGCATTCGCATTGGTCATTCGTTTTTAACTCATATTTTCATCTTAAATCGAGAGTCTCAACCAAAAGGTGTTCTCTGTCATGTTCCTTTGACATATTTTGATTGAGTGCAATCATCTCAAGTCCATGAGATCAAAATATTACCGTTGCCAGTCAGTACGTCAGTTATTTTCCCAACCGGAGATATATAGCAAAGTTCTAACATTTTTAAAAGTTTCAAATTTTTATTCAAAATTTTATTTGTATATAGTCATATATTATATTATATTTTATAAATATGTAAAGATTTTGATATATTTGGTTTTAATTATACTTTCTGTGATATTTGATTTTATTTAAATATATGAATACAAGTCTGTGATAATGTTGTCATCACCATATAGCCCGGTTGGAGCTGACGTGCCATAAAACTCCATTTCATTTAATTTCTACCGATGGGGGGGGGGGGGAGGCGTAGGGTCCGTCAGTGAGTGACGTGTTTTCGATCCCCCGCGTGTACATGACAACGAGTAGGGTCGCAAGTCCAACCCTCGTGGGTTTTCTCCGTCCAGCCCCCCCCCTCTGCTACCCCTACGCGCAAGCCGATCGTTATAATTAAATTGAACCATGTGTTAGTCACGAACTGACCCATTTTGTTTCGAATGGACGTTACCCCCCGCCCCCTCCCCCATCCTTTCTCCCCCCCCCCCCCCGAATCTCTCTCCAGTTATATTATAACAATAATCAAATTGCTATTGATGTTTCAGTACCTGTATGTACCAACAGTACTGACAGTTATACACAGATGAATATACCTGTTAATGGTGGTATGGGTGATGGTTGTCAGTGTGACGTCACGTTGGTTGAAACACCCACATCTGGTATTAACAGTGTTACTGTATCCAATGTAGAGGATGTAAAAGAATGTGGATATAAAGTGGTTAATTATAACACACTTAATAATGATAGCTGGACTTGTTCTAATAGTGAGATATTCCTCTATCCACTGAGTTTAAATAAATCCTTCCAGTTAACATTTACCAGAGATTCAACACCAGAACCTACTTCTACTGGATTCTGTTTACATATAACCACGACAATCATCAACATTGATACAAGTAAGTTGGTTATAAGTAAAATATATCCACTTATATAAGACGTTGGCTCGCTAAGATGGAAGTCCCGTGTTCATCGGAAGTACCCGGCGTGCTTTCCCATTGCCAGTGGTATAGGACGAAGAAATGTGTACATTGGCGTTCACGTAAACGAAGAGCTGGGATTCGATATAAGGGTAGACTATAATTCCGCTGTCCGTATTTGTTTTCCCGGTCGGTGCAGCAAAGTAGGAGGTTAAACTCCATTTCATTTCATTTCTAACAGGTGGACTTTGTTGTTTCTTTGAAACCGTATCACAGCGCTCTAGATAGTTGCTTGGGGGTAGAATAATGAATACTGGATATATTATATTGTCTATGTGCACTAACATACATATACGGAAAATCCAAATTCGATGGTGTGCTTGTTCGGGACTAACATGGTTCAATTTCATTTCAATAATTCGCTTGCGCGTAGGGGTCTTTAGCAGTGGGAGGACCTGGAAAAACCCACGAGGTTGGACACGTACAACCGGGGAATCCAAACCACGCCAGTTGACTCAATGGCAGACCTTATGGCACAATGCGCACGCGGTAACCATTCGCCCTCCCCACCCTGTCTATATCTGGATGTTGGTATTCCCTTGGAACCGTATCACAGTGCTTGGGGCAAGAGCCTTATAATTAAGATATTTGTTCCCGGGGATTTTATTGCCGTTTGAACATACTGGGTAAATTATATTGTGAGGAGATGCACAGTGTATATTGGATCATTTACTACATCGTTAGTAATAACACAGGACAAACGCATTTAAGATACAAATATTAATTTTAGTGTACAGATGACGGAATACAACAACAAATGAAGAAATTAGGGACTATGAATTAAGAATTAAGGAGTAAGAACACTCAATACAACGTTGTTTGATCTTCCCTACAATAAATGGGACGTGTAATCGAGCTTGTGTCAAATTTATGCAATATGGTATACTATACTATCTGTTTCTGTCCTAGATGCCAGTTTCACGATCATCTGCTGGCGTAGCGATACTACTACATCAGCTACAATCAGCACGGCATCAACCCCACAAATGACAATAGAACAAACAAGACCACCACCAACAACCAATTTTAAAATAACCTCAAGAAAAAGTACGACATCTGTTAGTAAGGTAGCTCCTGACGGGGGGTCCACGGACAGAACACCGGTGAGTGGCATGACATCTATATATAGGTCAACGGAACAAGCAAGTACACCAAATAACGGTTTATCTGCAGGTAAAAATGTTATTATTATGTTAAAGATGCATTATTTTTTGATTATTTAATACTTGCTGGGATGCTCGAGAAACATTAAAACGGGGACGATTACGCTTATTTGCGTATATCTCTCTGTTAGAAAACCTGTGTTTTTGAAACGATTTCAAATGACAGAATGTATGTTCGAAGCCTGTATGTGTATATATCTATTATGAATAACACATTTATATATTGTATTCAACCGCTCGATTGCTAATAATTATATATTTTAATTCCTAATAACTAGGCAAATCTCTTTTCATAATCAACGAATTGGGCCGACTTGCGAAATAATCTTCTCTTACATCAGCCATTGTTTGTCTAGTTACAGGTATAGCTGTTGGAGTATCATTTGGTTTTCTTGTCTTAATCATCATCATTGTCATACTTATATGGTAAGTAATCATCATCATTGTTACACTTATATGGTAAGTAATCATCATCATTGTTATATGATGACTAGTAGTTGTCTAAACACATGTATTTAATTGTAAGTAGAACTTCTGGTATAGTCTTATATGGTGAGTAATTATGCATAGTTATTACTTCTTGTATAAATAGAGAATCTCCTACCAGTCTTTTTTGATATCAAAAAATATCAACACAAGTTGATAAAGTAACAAAAAACGAGGCTCGTGAGTATTACTTTTCTAAGCACATGTGTTTAACGTCCGATTGTTCTACTGCGACTGGGCTTATTACTTCTAGTATAGTCTTATGGTAAGCATTACCTCTGTAGAAACATGTATCTATTTGTGATATAGCCTTACACTACATTCTTTTAATTATTTCAGTATAATACGAAGAAAGGATAAGTTACTTGATGAATACGTATCTAGATCTGACGTCAATCACCCTAATAACATGTATGACGTCATGACACCAAGAGAAGATAATCACCACTATGAAATGTCACCTGCGCGAGATTCTAACGCAACGACTGACGATGTTCAGTCTACATATGACGTCATGGTGAATAGATCGCCCAAGAACAATTATCAAACATTGGCGCAACCTGTAAATAACGGTGTATACGTCAATCAGTGACTTTATTTGACAATTATAAATGTTAATCAAATAATTACGATTTAAGTTTGAACAGGTTTAATGGCTCTGTTATGTTCGGTCGGTTGTCAACACGGTTTCGCACCATGGACAATAACGCTGCCGATAATCCTGTTCTAATCTTTTTACGGTATGATTTCCCCTTATCAGCAGTGCAGGACAGCTGTCTTGTCGTTCCGAAAGGACGAAATCCAAGTTCTCATGTATATATTAGCCTGCGCGTAAAAGATTAATTGGCAGTTGGAATTCGATATAAGAGTAGAACGTAGCATCACAGTCCGAGCAAAATTTCCATCATAGCACATTGTATGGCGCATGCCTGTCTTATTAGCCCAGAGCAGTAGGACGTTAAACCCTATTTCATTTCAATTATTTGTTCTAATCTTGTCGGTTTGGACACAGGTGGGTTAAACACTATCCTCATGTTTAACGTTAAAAAGAAGTTTCATCAGTGGATTGTATTAGTTGATTGTTTTACTAAAATGTTCACCTGTCACATCGCAAGGGGCCGCTTTGAATTAAGTCACTATATTCGATCATTGGGCCCGAATCAACCCACCATCTCTTCCCTCGAAGCTGATTCCTGGCGCAAGGTTTCTTATTTGTCCTGTGCTTATGGTATATTGTCTACCGATTAACGAATGAAGTGTCCCTGTGGCCCGGGGGTCAGTTGCTAGTTGAGCCAGAATATGGGGCACTTCCCGCCTTTAAAAGGCAGAACCTGGCATAAATTTCCCAGAATATCATTCAGATCATAATTTGGATTGATCCAACAGTTGGCCACAACTTGGTGTGGGGAGCAGTTATTATTTTTATTTCATTAAGATCTACCACAAACGTTACGACTTTAAATTGTTTAATCTAACGGTGTAATATGATTTATTGGACGTGATATAAACATAACATTTAAACCATGTAAATTGTTTAATCTGACTAAAAACATAACATTTAAATCATCTAATTTGTTTAATCTCACTATTGTATTTCTTGTATTGAATTACTGAATGTAAGATAAATATAGAAAATAAACAATGTTTTTACTAATGTGACAACGACTATCGGTATTCCTTAAACACAACGTGAAGTCAGTATTGAAGTAAAAATATCCGTTTTATTTTCTCTCCTATTGGCGGCGAAAACATTTTTTAAAAGCCACTGAGTCAACATACTCCTCGCAAACACTGTTGGACTGTCTGATGATTCATGTCCCAAATTATGACTGGCTAACAGGCGGGTTAACAACCAATCTATTTCAACGTAAATTTAAAACAAACAATCGCGATTAATAGGAGCTAAACATATGTAAAATGTTATGACAATCGCGGCTACATTACGTCACAACCCTGGAAATATGAGCCATTATCCAGAGAATAGCAAACTATTGCAGAAAAACTCATTCTGTGATAAAGTACCCAGTTTGGTAATCGCCATATGCAGAATGAATCGTGTTATCATCTGTTGAACCACTCTGCAATATTTACACCATCTTTTAATACATTTTATCACTGTCCGAAGTTTTAGAGCAGAACTCCGATCAAAGAGATGAATTGTCGTGTTACTTATTACCTTTATCATTCAGATAAATATTCTATGGCTGAATTGGTAATCAACATTTGATCATATCTAGGTCATTCGCTCCATTATCCGATCTTTTATAATGCTCTCATGTTTGAAGGGGGGGCGTGGATGGCCAAATGGTTAGCGCGTGCGCGCTGTATAACAAGGCCTGTGATTGAGTCAACTGGCGTGGTTTCGATTCCACGGTTGTACGTGACAATGAGTAGGATCGCCTGTCCAACGGTTCCCCCCACTGCTAAAGAACCCTACGCGCAAGCGAATTATTGAAATAAAACTAAACCATGTGTTAGTCCCGAAATGAAATGGTTTGTGTCGAGTGGACGTTAAACATCATTTCTCTCTCCTATTCCGCGTCCAGGCTTACATCTGGCGACGGTGTATTTACAGTCTCCTCAGGGGGATTGGGATACGTCATATCGTAGTCTTTATAGCCCGCGGATGCGGCTCCCACACACACACTTACGTTCTTTTCTCTTTTTTAACTGGACTTCTACGTCCACGTCCCAGTCTTCAACCGAGGATTCCTCTGGATCCAGGACAGGTACTGCATTAACTCTCTCGGGGTCCATATTTTCTGTCTGCGCCGTTCCCTCCCATTAAATAAGGGCAGTTCCTCTAAAATAATTACAGAATTCCCCATGCCTAACCGGGTCTAAATGATTCAGAAGAATTTTCATGCATCTCCTGTATATCAAACATACCGAAAAACTGAGAGAATGTTTACCGGTGCAGCTGAGGTCACCCCCTTAATTTACAAGTTATGCGTAGTGCTGGGAACGTGTTTGTTCTCCGCTCCGAAGTTTCCGGTAGCCATGACCATACCTATCGGGGTACTTCCCATATTTTTGCATAAAGTTTCCAAAGCTTCTCCACTATAAACGGGTCGGCAGATCTTTCCTTAGCGGAATGGGTGTAAATGTGTCCTAAAACAGTGGAATTTTATTTTCCGGTCTATGACTGGACAGCCAATTAAAGGACATTTTTTATTACGATTTTGTGTTCTCTATGGTAAGAGAATGGCGTGTTTACTAGCTCTGTTGAAGGGGTAAATAGGATTTAACGGGGATGTTAGCATAGTTGCTGGTAGTTCTCTGATCTCCATACTCAGGCGTCGGAAAATCAGAGGATTGCTCCCTACTACGCCATAATTGCGGCCGAGGACCAAAATCCCCATTCCCTACTGTTGGCAATGCGTATTATCGCTGACTTATCCCTCGTCTCACCCTCGGGTCTAAGGTACCCCTCCTCCACCCAGTCTGATGTATTAAATGGGGAATTCCACCCATATTCAATTAAATTATCCATGATGTACAATAAAAATGAACTATCAATGCCGTTACCGTTTAAGAATCGGTAAAGACAGTAACTTATTAAATAATACAATCGCCGGTACAACGGGGGTAAATATATTCAGTGTCATCCTAATCGGAACTGGTAGGGATACCCATACAATTAAAGTGATACCATTGATTACAATGATTACAGCGAATCATTGGATTCCCATTGTCGGGTTTCCAGCAAATGCAAAATCTTCATTCCTAGACATTGTTAATACAATGGTTTCAAATTAGTGATTTTATGGCCAATTTAGCTAAAATATTAAAATATGCACAGGCCATCCCCATTACTACAGCCTTTGTAGAACGGGGATTTCAAACCCAAAACAGAAAAAAAGTCCAAGTTGAAAACATCAATGAATAAAACAAGTTTAATTGTATTGATGCCGACTTCCGACGATGGACCAAAAATGTTAATAATTTGATTTCAAGAATCGACTGCTATTTTAACAATATTGTAAAACAGATGAATGATGCAGACGATTTAATCGGCTTTGGTCGTGTTTAGCTGACGAGTAAGCGCATCTTTTCCAGAAGTATGTAATGTATTTATTGCATTTCTACCTTTGTGTCCTGAGTGCCTACTCTAAATCAGCGGCATGGGTCAACTGGATAAAATAAAAATATTAAATCTTTACTCTGTCTAGGTATATCCCTGTCTGTAGCCTGCATGGATATTCCAACCCATTAAACCACATTTCATTTCATTTCTATTATCCAAATAACACCGATGATGCTTCTAGTTAGTGGGAATGTTTAAACAAATTGATAAGGTAAACGCATTTATTTATATCTACTAGTATATCACAACAGTTTATATGCCTAGTTTATATATCTACTAGTAACATAATGAACTAGACATATAAACTGTTGTGATATAAGGCCCCAGACAAAGAAGTATACGACTGCACTTTAAAAACACCTGTGTTGAAGCGTGTTCTGGTTAAACTTTAATATTTTATAAATAATATAAGATTTGTTATACATGTCTGTATGTTATTTTAATAGTAGGTATATAAACTAGTATTAGTATACACATCTCCAGACAAGGAAGTATATAACTGGTAACAATATGGGAGATATATTATTCACATACCATACTCTGTTGTACAGGCTAAGCAATATCATCTATGCAGACAGATACGGTACACAGATTTGGAAAATAATACGTTATTTTGTCAGCGTGACTTATAACTATTGTTTGCAACCACACCTATTCTGTACTAGTCGGGGAGGGGTAGCCACCCGAGCTGTGAATTTATGAGACCAAGTTTTGCTAGACCAGTTTTTTGCGTAGATTCCGAATCTGGGTGGTGATCGGGCGTTTGAGGGGGCGTTTTTGAGATATGGGGGTCCAATGTCTACAATTGGGGGAAAATGTGGTTATGTTAACATAGTAATGATGATCATGTTATATAATTATTAATAAAACATAAATTTCTAGAACTTTCGATCTCTAAATAAGTGTTTATGATACCCCTGGGCAACTGTTTTGATTTGTGGCGAGGTGGGGTGGGTGGTTGCAGGTGTGCGTGTGTGTATGGAAGATGGGGAGGGGGGATAAAATTGGCGAGAAATGAGTTCACGTCGATTTAAATAATGATTTTCTTAGAGCTTGATGAAACATCTCTAAATATGTTTATAATATTCCAATTGAATGGGGATGGACGCCGGGGTGGGTGCTCGCGGGGGTAGGCGGGTTATGGAGGGGGGGGGGGGTAACATGTGTTTTTGTGGACAGAAATCATTTGGTTCAAAATTGACCTTAAAAGTGGTTTCTCGTTAGCTTTTCCATTCATTACCTATTTCGTCATTCAATATATTAAATTATAATGGTACTATTCAAGAGATCTGGAAATGTACATAAAATACACAGTAAATTAGAGACATGTTTAGAGCGGATTTTGACACTATGGCGTCAGACATTGATTAATCAAATCAGCGTTGACGTTTCTTATAAGGGTTTACACCACAGTTTCGTACAGAGCACGTCAAGAACTCACCGTAACAGACCGTTTTATTGGCTAATTCCCTCACATCAACTAGACCGCCTGTTATATAACAACTCTTCCAGATCCTAGTGTTGTGAAGACAAGGAAAACGAAATTTTGAACTATAAAAAACGAAACGAAATAGCATGTGTGTTTTAATCAGATTGAACGAAAAAGCTAACGAGAAAACACTTTTCAGGCCAATTTTGAACCGAATGGTTTCTGTCCCTAAAATTACATTTTGCCCCCCCCCCCCTCCTCGCCCCATACAACGGGAATCTTACACACATATTTAGAGATGTGCAGCGGAATTAAAAAGTAATGTTTTTACCAAGCTCTAAGAAAATCATCATTTAAATCAACGTGAACCCATTTCCCGCTAATTTTACACCCCCCCCCCCCCCATACACGCACACCTGCTACCCCAACACACCTCCCCACAAATCAAAACAGTTGTCCAGGGGGGGGGGGGCATAATATACACTTCATTAGAGATGGACAGTCCTAGAGAAATTTATGTTTTAGTAATATATAAAATGATCATCATTTATATCAACATAATGACATTTCCCCCAATTGTAGACATCGGACCCTGATCACCACCCAGATTCGGAATCTACGTAAAAAACTTGGTCTCATAAATTCACAGCTCGGGTGGCGATCCCCCCCCCCCTTCAGCCACCGGACTACAGGGTTCGAATTCCGTCGTGGATCGAGGAAAACTTCGGGATTTGTCAGGTCATGTTACAACGTCCGGTCAATAGCATTGACCATAGAAAAATAAATAATAACCGCATGTTAGTCTCAAAGCTACGCTAACCACTCTTAATTACATACCCAGAGTGTCCGGCAACTTTCGTCACACCCAAGGCCCCCTCCCCTCCCCGAAGTGCTATTGAGTATAATACTTTGTAGTGGGGCAATGCAGCCAAACATCATGTCTAAATATCTGGTTGATTCTGTGGTGGAGCTCGAGTTAGACAGCATCGTTGTAAAATACTTGTTTTTATATATGTATATTACTACATTATTGTGATTTCATATAATTTATCTCTAGATGACAC